TTTGTATGTAGAAGTACTAAAATAAGGACATACCTTCCTCTCAGTAGTACAAGAATCTCGTGTGCATTTACACTACAGACATTCTCTGCACATCCTTCAAAACTAGAAATACAAAAAAAAGAAAGAACAACTGTGTCATGGCGGAACTGAGGGAGGGAGAGAGAGACAAAACTGAAGGTATACATCCTAGATTGACCATTTTATCGATGCAACACAAAGAATCATCCAGTTTTCATCCCTCATACATTGCAATGATATGTATACTGATCAATGTCACGTCCGCTAGACTCGTGTTGCTTTTCACAAATCCCTCAAGAAGAAGCTGAATTTCTTTGTCCAAGCATCGATCCTGTAGTAGAGGACAAGAATGGTGAAGGGTCAAGCCCAGAATATGGTCTGGAACAACCCCACTATCCAGCAAAATGTTGGTGTGTTTCAATTACTTCCATTAATCTACTCTCCTTATAAAGTGAAGCAAGCAAAACCGGCAAAACTGTATAGCAGTGAACAGTAGGAGCTATATTATTACTAACCATATTATTCAGAAGCATATATAAAAGCACGATCAACCATCCCTCTCTGGCGACAACTACTAATCAAATCATGATAAGTCACCACATTAGGCTGCATTCCCTGCTCCATCATCTGATTGTACAGCTACCAACAGTCATCAAACAAACCCATCTTGACAAACCAAGGATCAATGTGTTGCAAGCATAACTATCTGATTGACATCCCTCTTGAGCATTCTTAGATAACCTCTCATATCCATTTTGCATCTTCTTATCCTTGCTATATGCATTCATCAAGGAAGTGTACATACACCTGTCTATAAAGAAACCCTGTTTCTTCAATTTAACCTCCCTTGCAAAGACAATAAAACAAAGTTTTATAGCAATGAAGCCTAGCTAGAAACACTGTTCTTTCACGCATTTTATCGAACATCTACATTGCGTCGCTTGAGTGCCCTTTATAACATAACCCAGTAAACAATTTATGGTAACACCAAAAATCCATATTGACACCAGAACCATTCATTCTAACAAAGTAATCAAATTCTACTCAAGAAGCGCTATAGACGCAGTTTTAGTAGGAATGGAATCCATCAATAAAAGCCTATCAACATGCAATCTAGCTTCTTTCAAATTCCCTAAATTACACAAACAAATTACCATAGAATCAATAGTGGAGGAGTCAGGATCAGTACCTTCTCTGCCAATCACGCTGGGTATGCCCTCATTGCACTAGTTACTGAAAAATTAAGCTCCTACCACAAGCATCGGCACACTCAGGCGGCTGGTACAGGGTAGGAGAGCAAAGAAAGAAACACAAGATGCTGTTAAGCGGGCCGTTGTTCTAATTTTGTAAAGGTAACAACAAAACTTAAGCCCAATTACTGCTTTTTTGGGCTTGAAATTTGTCAACCAGAACGAGCAAACTTTTAAAAAGAGCAAATATAAATAAGAGTTCCATTCAGTATCCTACAGATCTATTAGGACGGGGGACAACCTTTAGTATGAGAGACTCATCCTGATTTAATAATTTAAATTGTGTACGTTGATATAGTTTAAATTGTATAATTTTTTTATAATTATATATAATAGTTTTTATTATTATTCTTCACATAGTGATTAAACTGGTTGAAACCTTTCATTTATGATTTTTGCATGGATTAAGGCAAGAAAGCCAAGTGTTATTCAATCTTTCAGTTTGGTTATTTGTCCTACTTCATTGATAAGCAAGAAGGGTCTAAAAGATGGGATTAAAATTGATGGGTTTGTATTATTGTATTTTTGTACATGTAAATGGGTTTGAGTATCTTTTATACTTAGTTTTTTAATTGAAATTTAGTTTTTTAATTGAAATTTCTTTGTTGTTCAAAAAAAAATCATAAAAAAAGTTTTGATACTTGAAATTTTAGAGTATCGAACTCTTATTGGTTGAGATACCTCTTGGTGGTAAGGGTTGTGAGCATTGCACAAGAAAAATAAAGGTAACAGTAAAGTGAAAAACTAGATCTTAAAAAGCACAATTATTAGGACAATTATGCATCATAAGTCAATGCTTGGATCTTTTATATGATATGTAGCTTATGCACATGTGCACAATAATAGCGTGATTGTGATAAAGGAAATGAGGAAAAAAGAAAGAAAAGGGTTTTCAGCTAATTCAATGAAGGTATTGAATGAAAATCCTTTACTTTCTTTGCCTTTTCCCTTATATCTCTCAATTCAAACCCCTACAAAACTAAAAGAAAATAATTTACCTACAATTTTATCTAATTGTTGATCTCACAATCTCATATCAAAGTACGTCTTTGAAATTTGCTTGTCATACTTTAAAATATGCTTGTTTTACTAATAAAATACATGAATTCATATGCATTTATTGACCATTAATGTCATATAACTATTGTGAAAGTTTAACGTAAAAATAAGGTTAATTGTAGGTGAATAAGCTATGAATCATGAAATGGCATAATAAGATTAATTGTAGGTGACTAAGCAATGAATCATGAAATGGCATCATCAATTCATCAGATTCAAACATACAAGTATATTAATTCTTGAAGCAAATAATTCAAATTAAATAGCATGTACCACGTGATAATAGGATCATAATTTCTTTTAACCGATGATCCCACCATTTTGATATACCTTTTGAACCAAAATAATTTCATCTATGTGATGTCAAATTTGTGTAAGATTAACGTCATAATCTGAATTTTAATTTTTAACGAAGGTTTTAATATTGTATGTAATTCAAAGTTGAGAATATTTCAAAATACTTTTCAAAAACCAACAAAATAGCATGCATGGTTTCTATAGTATGTATATAGTTACAATGAAATATTGTAGTGCAATTTTGTATGGATTATATCACTTTTAAATTTTAATCATTAATGAAGAGATGGACTTTTAATAACAAGAGAATCTGTCTCTCCGTTAATAATTATAAAACATATAGTTTATATCGGATAGATTATAAAATGCCTAACA